CACTTAGAAATTGTGGACCCATAGAAAGTATGAGGAGATAATGAATGCTTATTATTGCTCAAACTTCTGAGTTTTGTTATGCAGCTATGGATAGCTAATGTATGGGTCTCTGGGTAGTTTTGTGGGCATGATCATCAATTCATATTGGCATGTGTGAGGGGCTGGGAAAGGTAAAGGGAGGCATCTCTTTGCTATCTTCAAGAATCCAGATTTGCCCCAGGTTCTACACTAATAGTAGGCCTGGAAGATTGATTCATATAAATGCTTTCTATAAAGGCAGTTGAAATTTATATTTTAGTTTCCCACAAACCTAACGAATTATAAGAGGTTTCTTGAGCTTCTTTCTCTCCTTCCCATCCTTTCTTTTCTTCTTTCCTTCTTTTTGTCTGGGGATTTAACCCAGGGCCTTGACACATTCTAGACGAGTGCTATAACATTGAGCTGCATATCCACCCGCTTTGAAAACACATTTTATTTTTCTTGTTTGAAAACACATCTTATTTTGAAACAGGATCTCACTAGGTAGTGCAGGCTGGCCTTGAACTTTTGATTCTCTTGCCTAAGCTTCCTGAAGAGCAGGGATTATAGGCATGCACCACCTCACCCAGCAAGCTGTATTTCTAAATTTTAGCTTTCCATGGGTCTGGAACTTATCTCGGAGTCCTACCTAGAAGTGTCCCAAACTGCTGTATTCATTTAAGTACTTTCTTTGATGTCTTTTCAGTTATAAAATTTCATGAAAGGAGGTCATAAATGAATGTACACTGTGTATATTTCCTCTAGACGATCAAAAAGACATCTACTGATGACCGACCCTCAACAAAGCTCCACAAATATTTGATGAGGACCTGGTACTTGCCCACTGTGTATTCAATACTGGTGGATAAGAGAGATCAAGTGGCTTATATTCTGGTGTGTTGTGTCCACTTGAACTCTAACCTTCCGTCAGAGACTGTGGCTCTTCCCAAGCAAACTTGATAATTCCTGGTTTAAGAAAAAGATTTGGTGTGTTTCCCACACCCAGGTGTGTGAACTCAATTATGAACTCCATGTGTCTTCAATGAAGGCATACAGATGTGCACAGATCAGAAATATTTCTGATTATACTCACCCAAAAATGTCCCAGGATGTTGACTTCAAATGTTTTGGTAATTTCCTCATCCTTAGTACTAAGAAGATCGGCTGGATATATTGCTCCAGCATTATTCACCACGATGGTTACATCACCACTTCTTTCTTTATCTTTTACAATGAAAAGGACACATCAGTTGAGTTATACAAACTCAAAAGTTTTGGGGCTGATATCATCCATATTTTTTATTCTACTAAGTGATGTCTCAGAGTTTAGGCATGAAAAAGCTTCTAGTTCAAATAATAGATGCAAAGGCAAAACTTTCATAAATGTGGGCTAAAATTCTTTCAAACATCTAAATTTTAGTACCAATACATAATGGGATTTTGAAATCTTATCAACAAGGTAAATTTAATATTTGTGTTGATAAATTGATATATAAGTTCTGATTACATATTTTTCAAGTGCTGATTGAGTTATCACAGTTCCACCACCTACAACTACATGATCTTTGTCTGGATTAACCTCCTTGAGCCTTAATTAGCTTATCCACAAAATGAGATTAATAGAATCACTGAACTAAACTAACTTAAAGAATACAGTAGTTTATTGAAGTGTTAGGTTCATTGTGTGTAGTTGATATTTGTTCTTTTAAAATTTGTTATAATTTCTTTTTTTTTTCAAGCTGGGGATTGAACTCAAGGCTCTACCACTGAGCTGCAACTCCAGTCCTAGAATTATTATAACTATTATTACATTTTCCTTACTAGAGTAAATGATAACTAAAATTTTAAAATCTTACAAAGGACATATTAAAGGAAGAAAAATTACTGCAAAAATACCAGGACTGAAAACTAGCAAGTAATCCATTTTTCCTACTGATAAACCTTTTGTCAGTTACTCTGTGCCACTGCTCAAACTTCTGATCAGAATGAAATCGAACCACAATATGAAACCATCATAATGAGCAGAGTTGAGTGGCTTCTCTAGAACAAAAAAAGCGTACATATCCTTCTTTTGTCACATTACTTCATTTGGCAGTAAAGTCTAATTTAAATCAGTCATGAAGTACCTTTTTATTTTGCATGTCAGGGGCCATCGATAACAAAATGTGTGACCTGAAGTCACAGGAGCTGTCTCACCTGATTCACGGAGCTGTAAATCTCCTCTCGGCTACTGCAGTCAACCACAAATGCATGCACTATGGCCCCTGATTTTTGACATTCAGTTGCAGTTTCCTCAACACCATGCTGTAATTGGGGGAAAAAATATTCAGGAAAGAGTGGAAGAAAAAGCACTGGACAAGAAAATTTTAAAAAATATTAAAATTCACATCCAGAGTACCTCCTTATTTTTAAGAAACCTCTTGAGAGAGATTGTTTGCTTGCATTTCTGAAAAATTAGAATTCTCCTCAAGATTTAACATCTGCTGACTTTTATAGAGATGGTTATATGTTTTTAAAAATTATACTTTTCTCCTCACAATTTATAAACTATTCTCTGTGGTAAAGAGGTGAGGGCATGTCAAAGTCCTTTCCTCCATTATTTGGGTTCATCCCTGAGGGAATGGTGGCTGGTTTTCCTTTACCAGCACTGCCTCCCCTGCATTCTCTGTATTTCATGATTTGGGGTAAACCCTGGAGCAGCAGCCTGAAATCCCAAAGAACAGTCTTTAAAGAGCCCAGGAATATTGTAGCAAAGCCAGTGTCCTTTCAATTAGCCTTTTGAGGGGTTGCAGAAGAGTAAAAGGGGGATGGGTCAGGAGAGTCACTGACTTCAGCGTCAGCAGGTAGCTTGCTCACTGCCAGAGTGCATGGAGGACTATGTAATTCTCCATGCTGTCTCTAGAATCAAGGTCATAAGCAGCATAACCAGAGCTTTCATCCGATACTTTGATGAAGAAAAAATTCTTGAGTTATATAATTGAGCTAGAGCACTGCAAGATGTGGTGCCTTGTCTTTTTATAAATGAAATGCATGCTTCATTTGCAGTTTCAGTGTGCATTGTGAGCTCCTCTTTTCACTGTGTTCCTAAAGCAGCAGTTTCGATGGGACAAGGGCCAAACTTGCCTCTCATCTTGGAAGGCAAAAGAAACCAGCTATGACAAAAACCTAGTTGGTCCTTGACTAAAGGAAAACTGAATTACACCGATAGCCTTAGAGCAAGTCATTTAATATTTTAATATTTAACCATAAAATTCAAGGATTTGCAGAGAATTTTACAAGGTTGGGTTACCCATCATTCAGGCAGAACCTTAAGCCTTTTTTAAATAACTTCTTTCTGATTTTATGTTTGCCTTGTCACTGGAAATGTTAAAATTGAAAAAAAAAAGTGATAGATATAGTCCTCTCTCCAAAAAGACATATCTGGAAAGAGATCCAAAGGTTAAATTTTCATGGATTTATGAAATAACTGCCTGAGAAAAGCAGACAACAATTTTATCAATTTGTAAATTCTTGTCCTAATCTAGAAAGTTTATTAGAATTTTTTCAATGATCAAATTCATGCCAAGTCATTTTCATATGCCAAATTGTTTTCATCTAATATACAAATGCTCCTATCTGTTAAGTAAGGAAATACCAACTTTTTCTTGAAAGTTATTCTTCACTATCCAGAAAGAACCAGAGAAGAATTACTTCCTAAAGTTCAGGAGATATTTTCAAAGTCCCTAGGAAAATAGGTGTCAACTAGACATGATGGCAAGGAACATGAGAGTAATAATTTAATGGCAATTTAATTCTCATTGTGATTGGTGGAAGATCTGGTTTTCAAAAAAATTTTGCAAGTTTTCCAATCTTAAAATATTTTTGGTACATATATTCATGATTTTATGAGAATTTATGAGTTTAGGGAAAACCATATACAACTTAAGTTATTTCAGATTTGGGGGAGGTAGTTAAGATAGCATTTACAAACAAGAGTACAAGAGAAATATGAATGTC